CTACCGAAAGAAGCGACCGATGAGTAGAGGGCAGCTTCTGCTAAGGAAAGGGAGCATGACTTCCTGCGCAAGAACTACATCCTCAATGGCTTGTCACACGATCTCTACGACTACTATGCGGACAGCAAGAACACCGCAATGATAATCTGGGATGCGCTCCAAAAGAAGTACGACACGGAGGAGGCTGGAGCTAAGAAGTATGTTGTCAGCCGCTACCTGCGCTACCAGATGGTGGATGACAAGTCTTTCGAAGTTCAGTCCCATAAACTTCAGAAAATAGTTCATGAGATCGTTTCTGAAGGTATGCCTCTGGACGATCAATTTCAAGTTGCTTGCATTATTGATAAGTTGCCCCCTTCGTGGAAAGATTTTAAGATAATGCTTAGACATAAAACCAAAGAATTTTCACTGGAAAGCTTGATTACTCGCCTAAGGATTGAGGAAGAGTCCCGCAAGCAGGATATGAAATAAGAGGTGATGGTCGTCACTGCTAAACGATCCACTCCTAGAGCTCTTAAACCTAATCAGAAAGGGTTTAAGAGTAAGAACCAGCAGGTTCGCCCCCACCAGAATGGTGCCTCTCGAGATAACCAAAGGGTCATGGCCCAAACCTCTAAGAATGACCCACCGTTTATCTACTATAACTGCGGAAAACCGGGTTATATTTCAAAAAAGTGCAGGAACAGGCAAAACCATGCTGCTGCAACCAGGGTTAACTTGGCAGAAGAGGATTTGATAGCCATGATCACGGATATGATCGCTGAAGTAAACCTCACCGGTGACTCAGAAGGATGGTGGTTGGATACAGGTGCATCGAAGCATGTATGCAACAATCGTGCTATGTTTAAAACATACATAGAAGCACCTGCTGACAAGAAAGTGCTGCTGGGGAATACTCACACCACTATGGTTGCTGGTTCTGGTGAAGTGGAGCCGAACTTCACCTGTAGGAACAAGATGGTGCTCAAGGATGTGTTGCACACTCATAGAGATAAGGAAGAATCTTGTTTCGGGATATCTTCTTAATAAGGTTGGGTTTAATCAATCTATTGGAGCAGACTTGTATATCCTTACTAAGAATGGGAGTTTTGTGGGAAAGGGATATGCATGTAATGGGATGTTCAAGTTGAATGTCGAAATTAATAAGATGAATTCTTCAGTTTACATGGTGTGTGATTTGAATGTTTGGCATGCTCGTCTTTGTCATGTGAACACACGAATTGTGAAGAATTTAAGCAAGCTAGGACATAGCCCAAAACTCTCAATGAATGAATTTGATAAATGTGATTTCTATAGCCAAGCTAAAATAACAAAAACGCCCCATAAATATGTGAGTAGAGAATCAGAACCCTTAGATCTGATTCATTCTGATATTTGTGAACTAGATGGGACGTTAACTAGGTCTGGCAAGAGATACTTTATCACTTTCATAGATGATTGCTTTGTTTATTTGATGAAAAACAAAAGTGAAGCCCTTGATATGTTCAAGGTATTTGTGGCTGAATTTGAAAATCAGTGCAATCGAAAGATAAAAAGACTTAGGAGTGATAGAGGATCAGAGTATGACTCTAATCCCTTCAAGGAACTCTATAGATCACATGGTATCATTCATGAAACCACGACACCATATTCACCAGAAATGATGGTAAAGCTGAGCGGAAAAATAGGACGTTACAAAATTAGTTGTGACTATTATGCTCAATTCTGGAGTTGCTTCTTCTTGGTGGGGTGATATTTTGTTGACGGTTTGCTATGTGCTAAATCGTCTTCCAAAAACAAATAGAAAGAATCACCATATGAGATCTTGAAGAATAAGCCACCTAATCTGTCCTATTTAAGAATGTGGGGTTGTTTGGCCTACGTAAGAATTCCGGATCCTAAGAGGATTAAGTTGGCTAGTCGAGCATACGAATGTGTCTTTATTGGCTATGCGGCCAATAGTAAGGCATATAGATTCTATGATTTGAATGCTCGTACTATAGTAGAATCCATTGATGTTGATTTCTTTGAGACAAGATTTCCATTTAAAACGAGAAATAGTGGGGTAATGTACTACCCGCTATTAGAGATAACAGAACTAGTGGGGGTGTTAGATCTGAGGATGAACTCAGAAGAAGTAAAAGAGCTAGAATCTCTAAAGATTTTGGTGATGACTTTACTACAGTATACACCCTCGAAGATCCAAAAAGTTTGCAGGAAGCATTAACTTCCATAGATGCAGACTTTTGGAATGAGGCCGTTATAGATGAAATGGAATCGTTAGAAGCTAATAAGACTTGGCATCTAACAGACTTACCTCCTGGCTGCAAACTCTTAGGTAATAAATGGGTTCTAAAAACGAAACGGAAACCTGATGGTGCAATCGAAAGGTTCCGAGCTCGCCTAGTAGTTAAGGGCTACAGGCAGAGAGAGAATATAGATTTCTTCAATACCTATTCACTAGTATCTAGAATAACATCCATTCGTGTCATGATTGCTCTTGCTTCCTTGAACAATCTCATGGTACACCAAATGGATGTTAAGACTGCTTTTTTGAACTATGATCTGGATGAAGAAATCTATATGGAACATCCAGAAGGGTTTGTTATCCCAGAACATGCCTCAAAGTCTGTAAGTTAGACAGATGATTATATGGTTTGAAACAGGCTCCAAAATAGTGGATTGAGAAGTTTGACACTCTCTTTCTCTCACATAGCTTTAAGGTGAATGAAAGTGACAAGTGTATTTACTGCAAGTCAGAGAATAACACTTGTACTATCATATGTTTGTATGTAGATGACATGTTAATATTTGGTACAAATATTCACGTGGTCAATGAAGCAAAATCCATGTTGAAAGAGAGCTTTGAGGTGAAAGATCTGGGAGAAGCAAAGTTTATGCTTGGAATCCAGATAACTAGAACAACAAATGGTTATTCTCTAGATCAATCTAGCTACATAGAAAAGATCTTTAAGAAACATAACTATTTCGACTATAAACCTGTGTGTACTCCGTATGATGCTAGTGTAAAGCTATTTAAGAACACTGAAGACAGTGTAAGACAATCAGAATATGCTAGCATCATTGGAAGTCTCTGTTATGCTGCGGATTACACTCGACCAGACATTGCATATGTCGTGTGATTGCTTGGCAGGTTTAACAACAGTCCTAGTAGAGAGCATTGGAATGCTATAGAGAGGGTCATGAGATACCTCAAGAGAACAGCAAACCTTGGTATACACTATCAAAGGTTTCCTGCTATACTGGAAGGATATAGTGATGCAGATTGGAATACCCTATCAGATGACTCCAAGGCAACCATCGCATATGTTTTTAGCATCGCTGGTGGATCATTGTCTTGGAAGTCAAAGAAACAAATAATCCTAGCTCAATCAACTATGGAATCAGAGATGATAGCACTAGAAACGGCTAGTGAAGAAGCAAGTTGGTTGAGAGGATCGTTGTCAGAGATTCCCCTATGGGTAAGGTCGGTCCCTCTGGTATTGCTCCATTGTGATAGTATCGCAGTTATAGCTAAAGTTGAGAACCGGTTCTATAACGGAAAGAAACGGCAGATTTGTCGTAAGCACAATACTGTAAGAGAACTCCTAACGATAGGAGCAGTGAGGGTGGATCATATAAGATCCGAACAAAATCTAGCTGATCCTTTGACGAAAGGATTACCTAGAGAGAAAGTCCAGAATACCGCCAAGGGTATGTGACTTATGCCTACCAAACCACGGACTACAAGTGATGGTAACCCGACCCAATAGACTAGAGATCCCAAGAAATGGGTTCAATGGGTAATAAAAGTCATGAGTAGTATGCGAAAAGTTCATGCATAGTGAAGCATGAATCCCAAAGCAATGGAGGTTGAGTTAACAACTCTTAATGAGATGTATACCCTATGTGGGGAGGAGTACTTTACTTTGGGGGTACTCCTGATAGAATCACCTATGTGAATGTGGGAGTGGCGTCGCTCCCTATGGAACTTTGGAGGCACAAAGTTGCTAGAGCGTTCACTAAACCAGGATAACGTGCATGACCATAAACGCACGGGCTAAGAAGAGAACACAACTCAATGAAAAGATATGGTGTGCTACACTGTCTGAGATAGGGTTCAAGACTACGAGTCACCCTTATGAAATCGGAAGTGTAACCACTACGCTAAGGTTCAAATCTTCGCGATACCTTAGCTTATGCCCGATCTTATGGAACTGTTGATGCTCAGAGATAGTTTCAAAACTATTCAAGTGGGGGATTGTTGGAAATGAATGAATAGCTTTGAAAGCTATAGAGTCTCAAGTGGAAAAACTACCACATTGGTAGTTTTACTTGGTGAAATGTGTATGAAGATAGGAGCCTCTCTCCTAAGGGCATGCCCCTTGGGGTTACCCACTTTTGTGGAAGAGGAAGGACCTAACGGACCACCACACACGCGCGCCATCCGTCCGTCCGTCGGTCGGTCGGTTCTATATATTTTTTGGAGAAATTCCGAACGAAATTAATTATCTAATAATTAATTATTAATCGGTTATTCTGAGGAATATTCTAAGGATAATCAATTAAAAAGGAATATTCGAAGGATAATCCCGCATGATTTATCTTAACAGTTAATTAAGGAAGTAATTATCTTTCTTAGTTAATTCGACTTATTCCCCAAGCTAGAGAGTACATTCCTAGGGGTTCGGCTCCTATAAATAGCCTCCTCCCCAGCCCCTCTAAACACACCACAACGAGCATAAACACAGTAAAGAGCTCCGCTTTTCGCACAAAACCGCCGAGCATTCGAGGAGTTGTTTTATCCTGAAGACGACCAGTTGATAGTCTGTCATGCGCATCGAGGGCAGTGCCACGAACGTCTTAAAAGAGAGCGACCTAGTCCGCAACTCAGCTCCAGATTTGATAACCTCGTTCATGTTGTTGTTCCATTCCTAACAGAACTCATCGTCAATTTTAGTGACCGAAGGACCAACATTGAAAGCATATTGGAGGCCTTCGATGGTCAGTTGACAGAGCTCCGCGATCGGTGCGACGGCCTTGCGACACGAGTGAAAGGTCATTCACAACAACTTGACCACGTTCTAACTCAGTCTCAATCTGTAGAGACTCGATTGGGAGAACTTGACGATCAAATAGGCCAGCTGAACGACCGATTTGATCAAATAAACGACCAATTCACTGAGTTGCTACGGGAATTACAAGGTCAAGGCCGGCCGGAGGTTGGAGTGAAGGTGGTGGAGCGAATGATAGAGGTCTTTTTCTATTGCCTCTGGTCCGAATTGCAGATCTAGAGCCTAACTGGCAGAATGGAGGTCTCCTTTCAGCAGTACGGTTGGACGAGGCCGTGATTCGACATGCGGGTCCCAACGACGATCACGATCTCCTTCCCTTGTCGTATGATCGAAACAATGCTATACGGTTTCCACCTCCAGTTCGTGGTCATGTACAAGACGTCCGCAACGATGAACCTCGAGGTCGTAATCATGAATTCATAGATGCTAACCGTGAAGAAATGCTTCCTCGAGGTAACTTCCAGTATCACTTACCTTGTTTGGATTTTCCATCATTCAATGGCGATTATCCACGAGAATGGGTGAGAAAGTGCGAGATGCTTTTCGGTTTGTATAACATAGCGGATTGTGAGAAGGTTGACATTGCAGCCATTTACTTAGAACGTAGGGCTGATATAAGGTTTAAGGGATGGATTACTTGTCGTAGGGAGTATGTTTGGGCAGAATTTGCGGATGGTTTGTGTAGAAGGTTTGAGGATTTTACCATGGGTGGTTTGGTTGGTGAATTTAACAAGCTCCGACAGCAGGGCAGTTTACAGGAGTATCAAGAAAGGTTTGATGAATTACGATCAGCTACAATCCGGCTTTCACAGAGATTATTTCATCTCAAGCTTCATTAGTGGTTTGGAAGAAGAACTCAGGCCAGTAGTGACTATGTTGCAGCCCCAATCTATAGCTCAAGCATATCAACTAGCTCTATTAGAAGAGGTGTCGAATGTAGCTATGCAGAAGAAGATGGGAACTCACTGCAAATCACCGGCTGATTCTGTTGTTCATGATGCGTCAGGACAAAAGAAATCTGACAGCAGTAGGCCATCTAAACCACTGCTACCTTCAGCCTCCAACCCCAATAAGAATTCGCCAACTGCTAAGAACCATGGAGCCTGTTACAAATGTGGTGAAAGGTATTTCTATAGGCATGTTTGTGATAGGGATAGGCAGCAATTGACAATGATGCAAGCTGTTGATGCTGTGGAGACACCAGACCCTTGGCCTGATGACGATGATGACATAATTGAAGTAGATGCACAGGGGAAGATGGGGGGTTTCTATGCAAGCAATGGGCAACGGCGGTGCTGCCAACTCTCTATTGGTGAAGGGCACAGTGGGTGAATTTAGGTTGTTGGTTTTGGTTGACACGGGAAGCACTCACACCTTCCTCAGTGAAAGGAAAGCTCAGGAAATTCAATGTGTCATGTAGGGTGCTGTCCCATTGCGTGTCAAGCTAGCAGATGGTGGTATTCTTCTTAGTGACTCTGTTTGTAAGGGGTTTAAGTGGCGAATGCAAGGCCACCACTATGTGTATGATGTTCGAATTCTGAATTTGGGTAGTAATGACTTGGTTCTGGGAATGGATTGGCTAAGAACCATTAGTCCAGTTCAGTTTGACTTCATCAAGTTACAGATGGAGTTTTTTGTGGATGGACAACAAATTGTTCTTAAGGGCTTACAAGACGTAGGGAGTTGCAAGTCCATGGCTGGCAAGGAACTGTCGCATTCATTCATAAAGAAGATTCAAACATGTGTTGGCCATCTCATTAGTATCAATGCAGAGCCACTTCCTTTTTATTGTTCCTGTGCATTGACTATGGAAGGAATGAGGAATGGTACACCAATGCTGCTTGCTGATGGTTCTATGATTACTCCGCTGTCCAGTTGTTGTGTTTTAGGTGTGTGTTCTAAGCCTGTTTGCTATGGACAGGGGAAGTCGTTTTGGACGAGTTATCATTCCAACTACAAAGAGCCATACAAGGATCCAACAGTAGTAGGCAAGGCAAGAATGGCAGTACGTGCAACAATGGATGTCTTTGGTACTATGGAGATGGTGTGGACTTCTTGCTGAAAATTGAGGGCATTTGTTGTGGTTACTTGTTGTGTGTGGTGCTGGGTTTCTGTATTGGCTTATTGAGTTCTCTTTTGTATAATTGTTTTACTGTAATTTTCTCTTGGTTTGCTCTCTTGGTTAAGACTTGAGGACAAATCCATTTTCATGAGGGGAGTAGTTGAAACAACTAGAACTTATATGCACAACAGTGTAATATAGGGAGTGGAATGTAATTGTGCAGTGGTATAAATATTGAGTGTCTTCTACTGTATTGAGTATGGAATATGATGCGTGAAAGGTTCACGCGTCGGAATTTCGTACGAAAGAAAAAGAAGAAGCGGAAGGAAAATGAGTTTATTCTTGTTCTAATATCCCAAGCGTAAACCCTAACACTATTTATAGGCTAATCCTACAATAACAAACCCTAAACAAACTACGAATAATATAAAATATCCTAAACCAAAAACAATAATAAAATATTATCCCGATAATTAATAAAGGAAACAATAGCCAAAATAGAAAAAGAGGTCGCCGAAATCTTTGTACGCATCATTCCTCCCCCCTTCGAGCAACCTCGTCCCGATGTTGTTCTTCACCGTCGATCCATCCTCCTCCACCTTCACCGAAATCTCCGATCAAAGCAAACACCTATTGTTAACACAATGGTGGTTGTAGGTGAACAGCTCGTCGCAGTTGTAGCACAACCCATCGCGACGTCGGCGAGCTGCTTCCTCGGGTGTCCAGTAGCGAATGACCCTCCTCCCATCCGACGGTGGTCCCCGATTCGGCGATGCGGGAGAGGGTGCCTGCACCGTAGCTGGCGCGGGAGCAGCCTCGTGAGAAGCCAGCGCGGTTCCCTGTGTTGCGCCTCTCACAGCTCCGCACTCGATCCTAATCTCCTCCTCTCGAATTTTTGCCAAATGGTACGCCTCCCCGTTGTTTCGCGGCTCAAATGCACGTTTGTATGGTGAAATCTCCTGCTTGAGTCCTCCCATATAAGTTCCCATTACCAATTCCATGCCCCACCCCTGACAACGGTTCATCAATCTCTCAAAGGTCTGCTGGTAGTCCTCCACGCTCCTGGTCTGCCAAATTTTTGCGAGAGCCTCATGCCCGACAACCTTCTCAGTTGCCCGTACCTCTTCCAGAACTCGGCACGGAAGTCCTCCCACTTCATCTCCATTCCGTTCTATGCGAACTCTTCCTCGATCCACATAACCCATTGATTCGCGTCACCCTCCATGTGGAATGACACGAGAGCCACCTTGTGTTCTTCCGGAATATCCTGGTATCGAAGGTACTTTTCAACCCGCGCCATCTTACCTGACGGATCCTCCTGCCTGGTGAACTTAGGGAATTCCAACGTCGCCTTTCGTCCCCAAAATAGAGCAGCAACCGCCTCGTCACTTTCCCGAGTCCTCCCAGTGTCCCGGTTCTCGAGCTCCCGCATGGTCGGACCGTTTGGCTTGGTCCCGAACTAACCCTCCCGTCTACCGGACCCTAGCGTCGTCCTTGACCACCTCCAGGCTCGCCTGGTTCGAGCATTGCGAGGACCAGTCGGCTTTGAGGTTGGCCTATCTCGCGAGCCTTCCCGACATCAACCCGGAAACCTCCGTCCTTCGATCCTGCCTAGTCCTCCTTTGATCCCATGCCGCTTTCGTCCCTGGTCTCACGCCGCGGTCGTTCGTTGATCTTCAGGATCGACCTAGCGGCCCCGCCGTCTTTGTCATCCAAGGCTAGACTATCCAACGCCATCTCAGTGAGAGGAATGACGTTGTCCTTGCCCCTAAGCCGGATCGGGATCCTTTCGACGATGGCGTTGGCAGGATCGCATGGCCCTCTCCCTTGGGGCTTGCCTGTGCCGACTCCACCCCCTTGAGTTTCTCCTCGGTTGCGATTTGATCTGTGGTGCGTCGGTCGCCGTCCCGTCCCTTATCGGCAAATAGAGCTTCCATCCTCTTCATGAAGCCCTCGAGGTCACGTCGCAAAGCCTCCCCGTTCCTCTCCGATTCGTGCCGCATTTCCTCTACTCGTCTGGCGAATCTCGATTTGCAGCGCCGGTCGGCCGTCCTTGAGATTCCCAACATCGGCCCGGAGCTGACCGCGATCCTCCTCAGCGACACGCAGCTGTTGATCGAGATCGGCGGCCCGATCCATCGCATCCCAGAGTTGCTAGCCGACTACATCATCGGCGGCTTCCAAAGAAGACGACGTATTCTTCTTCGGCGGCATCTCGTTCAAGTCCTGGATTCTCTCGAAACCCGGCTCTGATACCAATTGACGCGTGAAAGGTTCACGCGTCGGAATTTCGTACGAAAGAAAAAGAAGAAGCGGAAGGGAAAATTAGTTTATTCTTGTTCTGATATCCCAAGCATAAACTCTAGCACTATTTATAGGCGAAGCCTACAATAACAAACTCTAAACCTACTACGAATAATATAAAATATTCTAAACCGAAAACAATAATCAAAGATTATCCCGATAATTAATAATGGAAACAATAGCCAAAATAGAAAAAAGGGCAGCCAAAATCTTTGTACGTGTCAGAATACAGTTGAGAAAGTTCCCACAAATTCTATCTCTCGGATACTTCTTCCTTTCCTCTGCTTTGCATCTGCAACTCCTATTCTTTCCACTTTCTTCTTCTTGTTCTTCTTCTTGAACTTTTCTCCCTGTACTTCTGCTTCTTCCCTCATCGATTCCTTCATTTCCTCGTCCATAATTCGTTGAGAGAAGGTCCAGATTAGGCTAGAGTATAATAGTCGACCGGTAGGGTTTAGGGTGCTCGATCCCTGGGGCTGAAGCAGGATAATTTTGAGCGGGCCTGGGATTCTTCCCGCCGTCGTAGTGGCAGTAGTGTAAGTGTAACTCTGTATATTTCTATCGTAGTGTATACATGAGAATGAATTTAGTCCATGTACTATTTATGAATGATGGTTAATAATTAGCAGTGTCTAATATTTATTTATATGATTTGTTCCTCCAAATAATTGTACGAACTTGCTTTTGCTTGTTTTATGGATAGTGGTTAATAATTATCATAGTGACAAATTATTATGGTTAATACACGTATATATGGACGTACATATTTTATGTGTTTAAAATTTTATATTTTATACTTTTCGTACTATTTCCAAATCATTTATTTCCTGTTAATTTGATATATCTTCTAATAAACATGTATAAAACCTGTTTATCACATTTAATATTTATATTTAATGATTTAAATTGATAATTTAAATAATTATTTATTTAAAAGAAATAATTTAATATACTTTATGATTATTTATTTAAAAGAAATAATTTAATATACCATTAGTTAAAAGATAAAGTAAAATGTTCGTAAGTATTTGATGCACAACTTACCCGCACAGTATTTTAATAATAATGATAATGAGATTGTTTCCATTGGAATAGAGATCGTTTATTGTATAACCTATGAGGGCACATTCTATTATTATTATTATTATTATTATTATTATTATTATTATTATTATTATTATTATTATATAAAGTAAAATCCAAGTTACTGTTGCCTAATGTACACTACGTAGGCGTACAACGTCACACCACTGACAAGTGACAAGGCAAGAAGAGTCCCAATCCTACTCAAAATGCTCCTTCCCAGATCGAGCACCCTAAACCACCCGACTGGAAGTCTGGAAATGGTGCCACACCTGGTGCAGCTGCAGTTTCCTGGATGAAATCGTTAGAGAGCCACGGAAAAACTATAGAAGCCTCCGTCGTCATCGCTAAATCGGCCGACACTTATGCCTCCGGAATGTCAGCAAGACTCTCAGTTCTCGACGAAAGCTTGATAATGCCAATGTGGCCCAATAGAATTTGGCTGCACCGATGCCGCACTTTTGACAGCGGCACCGTAACATTTGCCAAAATAAAAAGACATTAATAGGCAACACTTAAATCTACTGCCCATTTAAAATGAAGGACCAAAATTTAGTTATGCAAGATTGTGCTTATTTAATTATTCATGCCACAAAACAGTGTATCAAATAGACAAACAAATGAAATATTTATAAACACAGCCCACGTGATACTTTTAGGACGGGCGAAGCGCGAAGGGGATGGATGTCAGAGCCGTTGAAACTTGAAAAAGTTGGTCTTGAAAACCGAAATATTGATAGGAATACCGGGGTTCGAATCCCTCTCCATCCGCGAAGTCATGCTGATAGGAAGAGAAATTCCGCAAAAGGACAAAGAAATAAGAACTTTCACCCCACCCCTGCTTCTATTTGCAGCTTTGTTTCATTTTGACTAAATTACACATTTGGTCACTCGAATTATACAAATCTTGCACGTTTGCCACCCAAATTACTTTTCTTTCTTATTCGCCACTGACTTTACGAATCGTTTCACTGTTAGTCACCGGCCGTTACACTCCGTTAAATTGTCCAATATGACAGTCGACTATAAAGTTTGACCTTTAACTAGATGACGTGGAAATTAAAAAAATTAAAAATTAAATTTATTTTTCAACCTCATCATATCACTTACTTTGTCTATGTTATTTATCATATTAATTAATAACAATTACCAAAAATTAATAAATTAAAAAAAATTAATTATCAATAGGAGGATAAATCGCTGGAGCTCTCTAGACGCTGCAAGCTGGGATACCCCTATTCCGATGATGAAAAGTAGTACTAGTGATGCTTTGCGAGGGAAAGGGAGGAAGCCATTTTGTGATGGATGCAGGAGATGTGGAGGCTCTTATATTGATAGTTGTTTAGCTCTGTAGTGTGACACTCAGTTGCGAGATGGTGATGTTGAAATCTCAGGATGTTGTAGTGGGCACGCTGGCGTTTTGAATTGATTGGTCGCAGTCCCTCGGAGCAAACAACAAATCTCTGGGTTGCGGTTGATATGCCCTATTCCTATTCCTCTTCTTCATCTTCGCTTCGTCAGAACTTCGCAGCGGCGACGGGGAATCTCGATCGGGAATCACCAATAGAACCTTATCCCCGTCGCCGATGCTCATGGATCTCAGCGGCGGATCTAGGGCTGGGCCAACCCGGGCCACGACCCAGCCCTCCTCCGAATACAGAGTTAGTATAGTCCTTATAAATTTTCCGATTTTAGATATTCGGCCCAGTGCTATTTAAAAATCGTCTTAGTGTTATTTGATAATAGGATTTTTGTAACTAGACAAATGGTCTAGATGAACATATCCAAACCACTACAATAAATTTGGCGTAGAAAATCTAGTCCGAATGATTTTCATTTGAAGAAAAAAACAATAAAGTTTAAAAGTCTATAATATAAAAGAATAAGTATAAAGTTTCATTGAAATAAAAAAAACTATATATATTAAAGTTCACCCTGTCAAAACTCAAAAAAATTCTCCAATCCCCTCAAAATAAAAACACGAACAAGAGACGACCGGATCCGAAATGGATTCCTCCGTCAGTCCGCCGGGCGCTGGTTTTCTTTTCCAAATTGGCATTGTAAGGCTAACCACAACTCGAGGGGCAAAAATTGGAGGTTTTAAGGCTATTTTAGCATTTTAGTCCTCTCGAAAACAGAAACAGCTCCAACCCTGATGGCTAAAAATTTATGTTTCGTATTTAGTAATCCTAACTTATGAATAGTTTAACTTATGTTTTTTAATTTAAAATTTATATATTCATTCACGATAATTGAATACGAACATTCCGATAAAATTTGACCAAATTCTGAGATACTTTGTTTTTAGTTGAAATGGTAGAAAGTTACACCGAAATGAACTTCGTTCATCAAAATTACCAAGATTTTGAACAATTTCGGAGATACCTGTTTTTAGTTGAAATGGAAGAACGTTCCAATTTTCAATTTTCATTTTTTGTTTTCAAATAACAATCGAATGATTGTAAGTTACAACGAAAGTAACTTCGTTAGTTAAAAGCACTCACAACAACACAAGTCTATTCAATTTAAGTACTAAAACAAAGAAAAGTTAAAATAATCCCCACCATTTGAGCTCTCTCATTTTAGCCCCCCCCCCCCCCCCCCCTCCCCCTAAACCCCCTCAAATAAGAGCTAAAATAACCCCATAAACTCCTTATAGCCTTTTACCCCCCAAATTTGCCTCATAGTTGAAGATGTTTTATTGGGACTAAAAGGACATTTTGCCCTTTTAGCCATTGGGTTGGGGACAACCTCATGAATGAAAATTAATAAATTATAGTTATTACATATATTTTTTGTTTACGGCATCCAATATTCCATTCAAATCCGGCCCAGTGCTATACTATATCCTTGATCCGCCGCTGGTGGATCTGCGCTCGCATTTCAGAGCGAGTTTGGTGACGAAACCGAAGCAAGTGAACAACCTTGGCACCAGCGGGAGGAGATCGGCATGTGCGTTAAGCACGAGGCAATGCGCGCTCTGGCCTTCTATCATGAGCCACCGGCGGCAGACCAGTGAGTACCTCTTCTTGTCAGCGGAGCTCAACGATTGGAAAACGGCAGACAAACACTCATTTGGCATATCCGAGATGTAATCAGGCGCTTTGACGACCACGAAATCTTCAATGTTTTTAGTGTTTTCCACCCATATCTTGTAATTTATTAATTTTTATTAATAATTGATATGATAAAGGCAAAGTAAGTGAAATGATGTGGATAAATACATTTTTTATTTTTTTTTTAATTTGCACATCATCTAGTTAACGGTGAAACTTTATAGTTGACTGCTACGTAGGACAAATTTAACGGAGTGTAACGGCTGGTGACTAACGGTGAAACGATTCGTAAAGTTAGTGGTGAATAAGAAAGAATGAGTAATTCGGGTGGCAAACATGAAAGATTTATATAATTCGAGTGATCAAACATATAATTTAGCCGTTTGATTTTCCTCAACTTAGGGGTCGTTTGGAAGTTGCGATTGTTAAATAGATGTATTGTTGAGAATGCATGTATAATATTATACATGTATTGTTGAATTTGATGCATTGTATTATACAATGTTTGGTATGTGTGATTGTGTATGTCGCATCAGCTAAAAGCTGAGACAAAACAATCTCAACTCAACTATCTCAACAATCACAACTAAAAGTTGAGATATAACAATCACTCAAAATGAGTGATAGTTTCTGTCACATCACAAAAACAATCCATGTATTGTTTTTGCTAAAAAAAAGCAATGCATTGTAAACAATACATGCATAATGACAGACTGCTTGCTTCTTGTTTAGAAGCTAGAGACAGCGAATGTTGTGCAAACTGAAGTTGGCATCATTTGTCGAAGTATACGAACAGGGCCGACCAAGAGGGTGGGCTGGCCCGCCCTCCGGCACAGGGCCTCAGAATATTAGGGGCCTCTACTTAGATTCGTTAGTTACCGATCGTATATTGTAGGTTGTATTTTTAGTGTATGATTGATTATGAGTATGATGATGTGTTTAATAGATAATTTTAGCGATAATAACAATTGAAAAGGATCTCAAGGAGAATACGAAAATCTGAAAATAATAGATAATTTTAATTTAAACAATATAGAAAGATATTACATTTTGAATAATGTTATTATAATCATTTTAGTTTTATTATAGTTAAAGGTCGATTTGGACCACGTCTAGATTTTGAAATAGGGCTTCCACGATCTAGTAGACAACCCTGCACCGACCTCTCGATCAATTTAGACTATTTTTCATTTCTCCATTCAATTTTTGCGCTATATCCATTCTCTTCCTTCCAGATTTACTTTCCCCCTACTAGGGTTGAGAATTCGGTCTTGGTTTCTTGGTCAAACTGAAAACGAAATCGTTTATTCTTGATGTAATCTTTTTCTGAACTTAAGTATTTTTTTACAATTATTAACTAATTTTTAATTTTGATAAATTTATGGAGAAAAAAATTAGGGCCATATTTTAAATTTTCGAACAGGGCCTCGAAATATCATGGGACGGCCCTGTATACGAAAGATGATTCGAGAAATGGGCAACGGTTCTTGGAGACATGTACAAAGAGAAGCGAATGAGGCGACACATATCATGGCTCATGTACAGGCAAGGTGGGATGAGAGTACAGTTTGGTTGGATAGACCTCCTGTGTACTTAATTAATCAGCTGGAGTTGGACGATGTAGCAGCACGTTCTGATTAATAAAGAATATAGATTTCCATAAAAAAAAAATACATGCATAATGACAATTTCAACAAAACAATCGCAACTTCCAACGACCTCTTAATAAATTAACCAGAACAAACAAATTAATTAAAGCCCATATAATTTTTTGTTTCTTACAAAAGATAATTAATTAAAGCCCATGTCTTCAATAAAACAAACATCCAACCCTATGCTATATCATTCATACAAGTTCAATGCATTCACAAATCACCCAGACAAGCAATCACAAGCAAACAAACAAAATTCCATTGGAGAGAAAGCAGATGAACAAACTTCGGGTCACTTCATTGGCCAACTACACATATAATTCCAATCAACCAACAAATAATAAACAAAAGAACACCCATTTAATCAATTATGTGACTATCATCTTTGGAAGAGATATTTCGTTCCAAGAGGTTGGATTAACTATTGAGAGAAGCCCTTTTTCACCGATCTAACAATTATAAAATAATCACAATATTTTGGGAGAAGAAACAAATACCCAGAATCTCCAAAGAAGCAAAAAGGAAGGATCGATCTTTATTGGGGAAGTTTCGATTGGAGCAAACCCTATTTTCCCTTGGAACGAGAAGGCATACCTGATACTTCAGATGCTTTCTGCGTAGAACGCAGCACCACCAAACGAGTTGTCTAAGCCTACGCCAACGTCGACGAACGCAGAATCAGACGGTGATTGTGCTCCCTTTGCTTCAGCGGCTTGTGTTTCGGTAAGAAAAGAGGTATGGAGAAGACAAGTTAGAAGAGCATACTCGTTTTCTTTATAGAAGGAAAGTGAAAAGGTGCTGCAGATAAAGCAAGGGTAGTATGGGTTTAGCAATAAAATAATGAGGATAGAATTGGAATGAAAAATACAAGAATGTGGTGTTTGGACAATACCTGGCCCCCCTTAGTTATTTGGCAAACACCACAAATGTGTTATTCTCACAATAACACACTCCAAATAACACAAAATTTTTATTACATCCAAACATGTTACTTGGGTTCAAATAACACATTTTGTATTATTTGGGACCAAATAACACCCTCAAACAATCAATCCAAACGACCCCTTAAAGAATTCATAGGAATGAACAATTCAAATTTTGGTACGACAAATTAAAAATTCAACGACTAACCTGCCAAAACCAGACTCGTTCGTTCCCCAATGCCTTGCCACAGATGACAGATGCAACAACTTTGACTTTAGGGTTTCAAGCAGCACCGGCGCCAATTCCCATTCCTCTCCCTTTCTCAAGTCTTATCTGCTCTCTCTCTACCTATGCATGAACCGGATCCCGATTCCGAGCGTCGTCGCTGAATCAAGTCTGTCTTATCCGTCTTCAGCAATGGCGTCGAAGCCGTCCCCGTCGCCTTCTGCCAGCAGATCGGGGTCTCTCAAGGACGCTTCGGTAAGCACCTTCGACGCCTCATCGCTCTGTGTAGCTATCTATATCTTCTCTTTGCTTCTCTAATTTACGTCAAAGTTTTGAGGCGGTGGCTTTCCCGATTAGGCTCCTTCCCGGTTTGTTTCCCTTGTTTGGCCGAGCTTCGTTTGTGGTGAATTGTGGGAGTGGATAAGCATCTTATCGCTCAATGTAGGTTAATTTAGTGGGAGATAGCCGGCTGCATTTCGTGATTATGGCCGATTTATACGAGCTTTCTGTGATTCTCGGTGGAACGCTGGCGAATTCCTACAGTATGTGGGGCGCTATGAGCTAGGCGCTTGATTGCTGCTGGAAACTGGCTAATAATGTCGCTAGAGAATTGCTCACCGAGGCTTGGAATCATGAAACTTAATGCGTTTGTCTAGTCTAAGTTCCCGGGTATGGTGTGTGAGAAGAACTGCAGCTTCACGTGATAAACGACCCGATTCTATATTGTTTGTTTCTCTGCAGATGGCCAAGGCAGACGAGTCAGCTCCTGCGAGCAAGGAGATTGTATCAGTTATTGAGTCTCTGAAAAGGCACGTTGTAGATGAACGGTGTGTTTCTATAAAGGTGCATTGGTTACGGCGTTGTGATTTTCAGTTTGTGATACCTGCAGGTTTAAATTTATGTCTTTGACTAGGTGCTATCTGGATTTTGCAGGAAAGGATGGACAACAATAGACACAAATTGGCTAGTGTCACGAGCCATCTACAGAAGTTGTCCAAGGACAGAAGAAACAGCTGGATTAACCTCGCTGATTGTAGTCTCGATCTACTGAAAAAGAGGCAAGATGATGCAATTGGTATGCATAGTGGCATTGGTACTAGTAGTAGTGATAAAGACAGTGACAGTGATCAAGAAGACTCTCATGCTTCTACGGCTGTTCTTTTGGGAACTAGTATCCCTCCGGGAAAGAATTCTGTTCGGCCAATTAGACTGCCTGAAGTTAAGAAATTACCTCCTTACACCACCTGGATATTTTTGGACAGGTAACTCAAATTATCATGAATCTTTATCGCTTCATTCTCTTGAGATTTTATTTTCCTATCTGTTTCCTGATGTGTTTTTTTTCCTCAATTTTGTAACTACATTGCTTGTGTTTACTTTGTTTTTTCTTTTTAATCTCTGGTTAGATTCCAAGGTCTCTGGGGATATAATTCTACATTGCTACTGCTGGCATTGTGTTTATCACTTGTATTCAAATAACACATTGGTTTTCGTTTATCTTCTCGTGTTTTAGTACGAAACTGCAAATTCTTTAAAAAAGTTTAATTACACTATACTTGTAGATCCATCTGCCTTTTTGCATCCCCACTTATCTGCTTGAATTACTTTCAATTTTATAAGTGACCTTTTCTATTAGATAACTGTAGAATCCACAAAGAAGCCAAAGAGGGAGATGCGATGTTTTTAAACCTGGCTGTTGACTAGCCTAAGTTCAGATCATTGCTTCATATAGATGGCTGATTGATTGTTTCTATACTTGGTACAGAAATCAGAGGATGACAGAAGATCAATCAGTGGTGGGTCGGAGAAGGATTTATTATGCTCAGAATGATGGAGAGGCACTTATTTGTAGTGATAGTGAGGAAGAAAATGTTGACGAAGAAGAGGAAAAGAAATATTTCCTCGAATCAGAAGATTATATTATACGGTTAGTAGATCTCAAAGTACACAGGACTATCTCTGGTGACCGTTCTTGCTTTGTGACCCTCCTCTCAGTGCGAACGTCCTTGCTTTTGTTCTCATTTTGAGTTGTAGCATATCCTATAGATTTTATGCATGAACCACTGTTATAATTGTGTTGACCACTGACAATTTCTTGCTTTATGCCTAGCCCATTTTAATAAAATAGTATGCTAAATCATGGTCTGAATTTTTATAAGTCGTGAAATTATGAGGAATGTAAAAACCAACCGCTAACTTGATACATGATTTTATCAGCATGACCATCAAAGAAGCTGGATTCTCAGATGCTGTCATAAATTCCTTGGCAGAATGTTTCTCTAGAAAGGCAGATGAAGTGAAGGTATGATGTTTGACAGATGCTGGATACTGATGTGCTTTCGTGGACCATATTCTTTGTCTCGTTATATTTTTAAAGAAGTCATTTCTTTTTCAATCTAAGTTCTCTACAACGTTAGCATCTGAGAAGACTGGTCATACTGTAAGCTCTGGTCCAACAGTTTCCATTCCCTTTTACTGTCTTTATACACTGATCAAACACAATCAATCATTGTATACAGGCAAGATATGCAAGTCTAACCAAGGAGGAGAAGACTTCAGTGGATTCCCTGAATGTAGACAGCGAAGCTTCGTCGTTGAATTGTTTTCTTGAGAAGGATCTTGAAGCTGCTTTGGATTCTTTTGACAACCTATTTTGTCGTCGCTGTCTTGTATGTCTCGTTCATGTAGCCCTCATATTTTTGTAATCTTTCCTTGTAGATCACGTCCCTTAACAGGAGCTTTCTTTCAATTTCCAGGTCTTTGATTGCAGATTGCATGGATGCTCACAGGATCTTGTATTTCCAGTAAGTTGATAACGTAAGAAATGACCATCACAGTGTTGCTTGGAAGTCCTGTGGGCATCTTACTTGTTTTGTTGATGCTGCACATTGTTAGGCTGAGAAACCACCACCATTGAACCGTCCAGACCTTGACAATCTACCGTGTGGTGAACACTGCTACAGATCGGTACATAACTTGATGGATATTTTGTATCTTAAATATGATGGGTGATTCCCTTTATGGACAGGGCATACTAAACTACTCCATGTATCTTTAAATGCATAATGCCAGGTATCTAAGCCGGAAAAAATGGCTACTGACGATTCCCCTGAGCTTGGTGATACAAAAGACAACTCTGTCCAGCCATCATCTGGTAGTGCTGGGACTCGCACGTCTGTAAGGAAAAAACATACTCCATGTGCTCGGAAGAAGGCCAAGCTCTCCCAAAGCGAAAGTGCCTCGTCAATTGTCAAAAACATGTCAGATAGTAGTGACTCAGAGATTGAACCTCAACATACTACTTCCACGAGCCACTTGTCACCCTCCAAGACAAAACTTTGTGGAAAGGGTGGAGTTTCTCAAAGGAACAGCAAGCGAGTGGCTGAACGTGTTTTGAGTTGCAGTAAAAAAAGACAGAAGGTGATAGGCTCTCATTCAGATTCTGTGGCTAGTGGAAGTGTTTTAGGAGGTGACGGAAAACTTAGCGGTAGTCCACACAAAGAAAATGAAGATGCCAATTCTTCTTCCCAGAAACATGCAAAACCAAGGTCAAGGAAAATAGAGCTTTCTATTCAGAATTTGCAAGGTGAAGCTCATGATGGTATATCAAGTGGGATGGTCACTGACCCACCTGGAAATAGCAGTGATGTTGCCTTGAGAAAAGATGACTGTGCTGATGGAAACAGTTGTGAAATGGCGTTGAATGATAACCTGTCTTGGAAAGCTTTCGAGAAAAGTCTTTTCGAGAAAGGCGTGGAAATCTTTGGCCGGAATAGGTATGTGATGGTAATTTAGCTCACTTACGAAATATATTCTACCAGATCTTTCGTCCTTTTGTTTAAAAGAAATCAGGTACCTGAGTAAGTTTGATTGCATGGTGCTCATGCTATCTTGATTCTTGACATGCTTGTGGTTCAATATAGGCTGTCTGTTGTTTTATGCAACTGGTTTTGTTCTTGGTGGCAGCTGTCTAATTGCTAGGAACCTGTTAAATGGTTTAAAGACGTGTGTGGAAGTTTTTCAATTCATGACACAAGGAGACAAAAGGCTAGCCTATCAAGCAGGTGATGCTGCAAATTCTCTTGGCGATGGCTATTCCAAGTATGAACATCAAGGCAATAATGAAGTTAGGAGAAGATCAAAGTTTTTGCGCAGAAGAGGTAGAGTTCGCCGCTTGAAGTATTCTTGGAAATCTACAGCCTACCATTCTATTAGGAAACGGATAAGTGAGAGAAAAGATCAACCATGCCGCCAGTACAATCCTTGTGGCTGCCAAACAGCTTGTGGAAAGGAGTGCCCATGCCATTTGAACGGCACATGCTGTGAGAAGTATTGTGGGTGAGACTTTTATAATCCCTAAGTCTTGTATCTTGGTGATATTGCAGTTGAAAAACTTTTTAATTATATCTCAATATTAGATACATTCAAGACGAAGGTAATCTGAGGTGTTTTATTAGTTTGCCATTGCAGGCATACCAATCAACACGATACATAGTAATAGTATTCATGAAGCATGCAAGAGCTCAAATAACAATTACTCTTTTTCTTTTTGTTCATTTTTTAAACTACATGTCCTTCTAGATGTCCTAAAACTTGCAAAAATCGCTTCCGAGGCTGTCATTGTGCCAAGAGTCAATGTCGAAGCCGTCAATGCCCTTGCTTTGCTGCGGACAGGGAATGTGATCCAGATGTTTGTCGGAATTGTTGGGTTAGGTGAGTTGTTATTCTTTAGTATACAATGATGATAATTCATTTTGAAATGTCTGTAATTTTTTCTTTAGAAAGACAACATTGTGTCTTATTCTACCATCGCCCTACGAAGAATGTGTTGTACATCTTTTTCCCTTGCGGAATACATTTTGATCCTCTTGATTCTCTGTTATGCCTTACTCCATTTGGCTATTTGAAATTTGATTTGCAGTTGTGGCGATGGCTCACTTGGAGTACCTAATCAAAGGGGAGACAATTATGAGTGTAGGAATATGAAGCTTCTTCTCAGACAACAGCAAAGGGTATCCATCTTCCCCTCTATACTTTTACTAGTTAATACTTTTATTATATATAAACATGTGGACATCTTTGAATCTTCCATACTATCTGAAGTTTGCTTTAGATATCTCCAATATTCATAATTCCAGTATATGTTCTTTTTTTGCAACGATTCCGGTATCTGTAATTCTCTTACAACAATTCTAGTATAATGCATTAGTTTTGCTATTATGAAGGATGGAACCCACAATAGTAGTTACGACAGTCGGTTCTTGTTACTGTTTTTCATCGTGAAGTTGTCTTTGCAGCCAAGTGTTTCTTTTTCTCGCAACTAATTTACTCAAGACACCTGTTTATGTACAGGTTTTACTTGGAAAATCTGATGTATCTGGATGGGGAGCATTTTTGAAGGTACTATTGGTAATTTAATCCTTTTGATCAAAGCCAGTTGATTCTCTTTGTTGCTGATGGTAAAAAGTTATTGCTGACCTCCAGAATAGCGTGGTTAAAAATGAGTACCTAGGTGAATACACTGGAGAGCTGATCTCGCACAGGGAAGCTGACAAGCGTGGCAAGATTTACGACCGTGAAAACTCCTCGTTCCTCTTCAATTTGAATGATCAGGCAGGATGGGTTTTTTACTGTTCTACCCAACTTTAGGATGCATGGAGAATAACTGACTCTTCTTTTCTTCGTCAATCATATGACTCCATGCTTTTGATGTATGTAGTTTGTCCTTGATGCTTACCGGAAAGGTGACAAGTTGAAGTTTGCCAACCATTCTCCTGATCCAAACTGCTACGCAAAGGTTTCCAGCAAATTGGCTTGTTAAATCTAAATTTGTCAACTAATGCTGCTTCATTGTTTGGCAGCACTTTTTTTTTTTTTTGGTTCACATTTTTAAGCATTTTGGATCGCGCAGGTGATTATGGTTGCAGGAGATCACCGAGTGGGCATATTTGCCAAAGAAAGAATAAACTCCGGGGAGGAGCTTTTCTATGACTACCGTTACGAACCAGACAGAGCTCCTGCTTGGGCAAGGAAGCCCGAGGCAACGGGATCGAAAAAGGAAGAGCCCTCTCATCCGAGTGGCCGTGCCAAAAAGCTCGCCTAAAGAAATCTCAGATTCACAATTTTGTTATTCTTTTTTACAGAGCCGAAAGTAGCATTCCCCGATCGACCTTTGGAGGATAGGCATAGGGTTCTAACCATTCGCGGAGGCGGCCATTGCTGTCTCTCTTGCAGCTTAACTGACTGCATTTTGTGTACATTCCTTGTTCTCCTGCGTCGGCCAGGTCGAGCCATTGCAATGAACACAGGAAAAGGGTAGAGAAATGAAGAATGAGGTTAGTTAATTGATGACACCACAGATCTAACTTGCACTGATCTCTATTGTAAAAGGAAAGAGCATTTGATGGTGGAAGGGCGGGGTTACTTTCTTATGTAACATTCTTTTCCAGCGTGGAAGTTGGTTTCGTTAATGCCTTCCCCCCCCCCCCCCCCCCCCCCCCCTTCTCTTTCGTTGCAGACGCTTTAAGAAATGCTATCTTTTTGCGACTTTTAGTTTCTTCGTTCTCTTTTGCATGCCATATTTGGCTGCCCCAGTCCTTTAGCAGCTGCAAATTTTGTTAGAACACACCTGGTGTTCATGTGGAGCTATCCAACAATCCACTACAGTTGGTGATATCGTTCCAATTTTATCAGATGTCCTCGAAGGGGTCACAGTTTCTGATATCGAATCTTGAGTCAACTAGTAAGTCGAACTCACCTAGTGTTCATGTAGAGCTATCCAACAATCCCACTTTGTGATATCGGATCTTGAATCAAAATTACCAAGTAACTATCGCATTGTGAATTTGGATCTTTCTTCGTAGTTGGAGTTTTAGCATTAGAGAAGTCGAATGGTTTGTATGTGGGACTATTTTATTGATTATCGTCCTTAAAAAAAAAAGCCAGCATCTCTAATGGTTTGTATGTGGGACTATTTTATTGATTATCGTCCTTAAAAAAAAAAGCACGCATAAATGCTGGTTGTGCTTCAACGTGTAGGATAGGAAAATAGAACATACCGTTAGAAAAATCGTGGTCCAAACTGTACTGCACAGTTGGTCCGGATCGTAGGCCGTGAAGTATGGTATGGTCTGGTCCATGATCTGTATTATTCTATGTTTTGATCTCTTGGTCTGGTCTGGTCTAGACCGCGGTTTACCGGACCAAACCGTGGATCAAACCGACTTGTCAATACGTGTTAACAGCCTATTCGACCACTCTCCCAACTTCCACAACGACACCAAAGTCTCAAATTTAGTTTTGTGAATCTCGTCCCTCCTTCATTCACAACCACATTTAACCAGATAATAGAGAGATAATAGTGTCTCCATACGACATTATGTTAATGTTTATGACGTTATGGTGCATGTTTGGATGCTTTTAATTTGTATCTTTGTATGTACTAAGATTTAGGGTATCAAAATTATTCATGCATGTTAGATTAATATTTTAAGGCAAATAACAATTATTTTTCTTGATTATTGGTTCAATTTTGTGTGGTTGACTAAACAAATTATTCATTTTTCGTTGAGTGTGACCTATCTGGACCGGCCCAGACCGAACCAGACCGCACAGGCGTGGTATGGACCGTATAGTCTGTGGTTTGGTCTGTGATTTATACTTTAGCCTCTCGGTCTAGACCATAGACCGTATATATGGGATTCCTAAGTGCGATCCTATTTTATGTGAATCAGGATTGGGATCACAGTCTCAAGCTCGGTTGTGCCAATACCCTACCACTCACCAATGAGCATTGATCGAGTTTTGCTCGCAATGATCTCCTTTAAGAACTTCGCCCACTTCGACATTTGTATCACCATCTTCTTGAAGGTTAGTTTGTATGCTCGTAACATCAACTTTTCAAATTTGGTAGAGTTTTGGTGAGAGATTAGAATGTAGAATTTCGCCATAATCCATAAAATGTGGGATTTGGGCAAACTAAAGTATTTGTGGAGGTTTAAAAAAAAGAAGGATTATGAAGTGAGATTTTGATAACCTATATTTTAATTTATTTATATTTCCAACGTCCAAATGACGTCGTTTTGAGAGAAGATAGATGAAAAATGGAAATCGGACAAAGCCTTCCTCTCCAACACAAACCGAATTAACAATTATTTTATCTTTTTCTCTCTCCAAAAATAGAGTCCACGCCCTCACTCTAACAATTGGGATAAAAGTTAACGTTTGCAGTTTGGTGTAGTTAGACTTAATTTTATGATTAATCGGCGAAGTTGTGAATTTTACTCTTTGTCATATGTGCCTTGGTTTCTCATTATCAGTTAGTCAGTATCTGGCTCACTGCTCTCCTAAGTAATACAATATTTTTTCGGTATAATCAAATATTTTTTGTCGGTACGATATTTTAATAAAATATATTATTTTATTTAAAAAGCGATATTTTACCGGTATGAAATGGTTGAAAGTTTTGCATTTGGGTCAAACGTTTTCCATTTGAAACTTCAGGACAGAATTATGCTTAATGTGAGACTGAAACGTATTACCCTTATAACTTGATTATAAAGCAATTACAAAGCAAAACCCGCAAGTAGAGAATACCATGATGGGTAGTAATGATATAAAAAAAATGTACAATTAAAACTCAGAATGTGGAGAATAATCAGCTGATGCGGCGGCACAGAGTGATGCCATCGCCCACCGGAAGCTGGCAGATCTCGATCCTCGGATCAGCGGCCAAGGCCTTGTTCAGCTCCAGAACGAAATCCTTGTAATACCTTACGTACTTCCTCAATGGCGCATCCGGTGGAGCCACCACCGCTCCATTCCAGAGTGTGTTGTCGTAGCCAATCAAACCTCCGATCCTGACGAGATCAATCAACCTCTTGTGGTAATTGATGTAGTTATCTTTGTCCGCATCCACAAAGATGAAGTCGAAGCTGCCATTGTGCTTCCCCTGCCACAAGATTGGACCAGAAAAGAAAACCCATGTGAGAAACGAAGTAAAGACAACAACTTCATGAAAGGGTATTTCTATTTCCCATAAGAAAGTTTACATCTTGGAGCATTTGATCAAGAACAGGAAGAGCAGGGCCTTCTCTGAAGTCAATCTTGTGAGCAACACCTGCTTTCTGGATTATGGGAAGACCCAATTCGTAATTCTCCCTGTTAATGTCCATCGCCAAAATCTACAACACAACAAGCCAACCCAATCATGTCAAAATGAACTAATAATACCATAGTTCCAGATTTTGAAATGGGGAAATGGCAATGCTCTTTATTAGGAATTGCATTACCTTGCCATCTTCGGGGAGGGCAAGCGCGGTGGCGAGAAGAGAGTAGCCGGTGTAGACTCCAATCTCCATGGTGTTCTTGGCATTGATGAGCTTAAGCAACATGTTGAGGAACTGTCCTTCATCGGCAGAGGTGGTCATTATGTTCCTGCAAAATTTTGGCAGCAGGAAAGCAAACAACTTGAGAAACACAAACAAACTGCTAGAACAAATGAGTCGAGCTATAAAAGTTATTTCAAGATTAGAGGGTCTGATCTCTCACCATGGATGGTTTGCAGTGACCTGACGGAGCTCCTTCATGGCTTCAGGCTCCCTAGGGTACACACTAGTCTCCAAAATATACTGCACCATCCCCAAAAAAACACACACACAAATCACAGTAAGTACTTCAATTGACATGAAAAGTTTGAACATTGTTGGAAAAAGGGGAAATTTGTGTGTGCTTTGCCTGGTAGAGAGCATCACTCTGCAACAGGCTCTTGTGGCCGACTTCCTGGTGCCGCCCAGCTTGGTTCTCCACTCCGGTCATTCTTCCTTCTGTGGCTTCACAAAGTGAAAGTGATGATGACGCGAATCCAAATTCTCTGTGTTGGAAAGTTTCTTGCTAGTGCTGCTGCTTGTGTGATTGTGTGTTCCTGAATATGGGTGGTGATGTCCTATTTATATGGATAATATCTGGGAAGGGGAGAGTTGGGAAGCAGAAGAGAAGTAGGTGAGTTGGCAGTGTGTTAATTTTGTGTTTCCTAACTTTTGATTAAAATGATTGAAAATTGGGGTTGGGCAGTTTCGCCGAAGGAGTTTGGGTGGGGTGGGGGTTTGGTAGTCGTCAATGGTGTGCGACTGTGCGAGTCAACCAATAGGGGGCTTTTTGGGCCTATGGAGTATGGACTCTCTCGCCAACGCTTTCATTTTTGTTTATTTTCTTTTTCTAGTGAGTCGAGTCAAAGACTCCTTTCATTTTCTTGGCATAATTGACTAGTCCATTGGTGTTAGTGTGTCAAAGTTTTTATTTTTAATTTTTTATAAATTTGTGTTGTATGTATTTCATCAAAATATACTATACTTTGGCAAACAACTCTTGCCACTAATTAATTATAGCCTTATAACCTTCTAATTTTATATACTTAACCCTAAATGGCTGAATCCAAGCAGACGATTTGAAAGAAAAAGCTAAAATTAATCCATTTCATACGGAGTTTCAACATCTCTCTTTAACCTTAGAACTCTATCTTCTCATTTATATTGGAAACCCCCTCCCCACACATACTTCATGGAGCACCTTAATTATTAATATTAATTATATTTGCATAATACCCCATTTACCCTCAACTACCTATTAACTACTAACCCCCATTAACTACCTAATCAACTATCAGCCAATAAGAATGGCTTAAGCAAATGCTTAAACTTATAGGCTTAAGTACCAGATCTTACCCGCTCTAGCTCTACCTTGCTAGCGATATGAAGGAATCCGAGAAGAGGGGCCAGATAACAAAGCAATGTAAAACAATTTTTACCTAAGCCACCATCTTATCACTAGTAGAGATATTGAAAAAAGAAACCCCCTAAGTTGCCGATTACTGTGCATGTAGAGACCTTTTACTGGTCATTGTGACTCATTTGTACTGTTATAACTCGGATTGGGCTTGAGTGTGGGAAGGTACAGGTGGGCGCTACTTTGTTCTGGACGAGATTTTCCTGGTTTGGTCGCGTTTGAACCATCGTCCGCTTTCTGGTTAGCAGCCCTCTTCGTGTCCCTCAACGCGTAGATCGCACGACAGCTCTTTGATTCTTAATGGAGTGGAATAATTTTCCCATTACTCGAGGTATTCACGGACTCCTGATTGGCTGGGGGTTTTTGCGATTCTTTGGGGGTTCCACGTCAGTGCAGTTGCCTTGGTTGTAAGCAAGTCACGTCGCTGCCCTCGTTGTTGGGGACTGACAACTAAGGGTTTAGTTGAGGAACCCGCCAGCAGCTGCTCTCTCCTCCCTTCTTTACCGCATATCAAACCCGATTTCCGAGAGAGAGGAGAGTCAAATAAAAAATGCGCCAATTCACCGAAGGGAGGGAGTCTGTAAATGACGACTTTATTATGTTACTTTCTCGACTTCTCTCTTCTCGACTCTACATTCCAATCTCTTCTCGGCTTCTCTCTCTCATTTTTCTCTCTGCATTCTTTTTCTCATCCCTCTTCTTAAGAGATGGGTGGAGTTTATAGCGATCGGAATGCAAATTTTTGAGGTCCTGAGAGGATCGGAAGATGATCTAGACCCTCCCATTTGGGTTTCAATTTCAGGTGGTTTATCCTTCTCTCTTTGGTGAGTTTGTTTTACTATTTTCCAGTTCCATTCATCGTCCAGAACCTCTGACTCTTTCTTTGTTCCAGGTGCTTGACTGGTCACGAGTTTACTCCCGTTTGTTTGGCTTTCTTCACATTCTCGGTGAGACATCTGGATCATTTGATTAAGTTATTTTGTTGCAAGTATCTCACTCTTCTTCTTATGTCTCTATCTATGTGTGGCTATCAGAAGCAATTGAAGGGCCCAGGAGCGACAACCTGCTGATAGATTTTTACTATTGGTTGGCCTCCTGGAATCAAACGGTAAGCTCTTGATAATGTTGTTTGTTTCTTCTTTGTTTCCTTCAGATTCCCTTATTCGAAAGGTCTACCGGGGGTTTTCAGAAGATTCATATTTCTGGGGTTCTGTTTTGGGTTCGCGTATTTTTTTCAATCTCTCTTTGATGAATTGTTCTCTCTCCCCCGCTAACTATTTAGCTTTCTGTGTCTTTCAGATCTCTTTTCCTTTGTACCGATCTCGACGTGATTTTCTTATCTCGATGGATATGTTTGCTTTTCCATTTCTCGAATGTGTTCGGATTTCGTGCAGAGGAAATTACGACGTGGAGAAGATGGACATGTCGTTGGTGAGGGGTTAGGGTCACGGTTTCACGGAGATGGAGGTCCCAAGTGACCAGGAGACTAATCCGTGTAACTTCTTTCAGTTTCCTTTCAATCAGAGGGTTCTGGTATGTAGTATTTTCCCTTTGTTTGTTTTGTTTGTTTCTTTTCCAAGCCCTACCTTTTTGTTATTGGATGAGTTCAGTTCTTTCATAAGGTTTAGTAATGCTTTCCTAGTTTCTATTTCATTATTTACAGATTTTGTTCTGATGATATGTTTTTTATTACTCTATTCGACTATCCTTTTTCTTTCATTTCAAGTAGTTAATATTAGTATATTTGGTTAACTCATAGATTCGTGTTCACTTGATTGGTGCGCTATTATCATTTGCCTTTATGAAACTGGGATCTTAGATTGTATGAAGTGCTCGCTGAATTTATATAGATCTCATTCTTTTAGAGATTTATCTTCTGGGGTGATGATTTTGTGTCTATCTCTAAGTTTCCGTTCAACGATGCTTTATGCAGGATTGGTAGATCTTCCCAAAGGCGGGCAGGTTCCTTCAAGAATATCTTGAGGTCCAATGAAAAGAGCGAAGACAACAAAGGAACGTGGTTCATAAGGAAACATCATGGGAGAAGCCTTTGATGGGAGTATTTAAGACGAATACAGATTTGGGAATAAATAGGAGGGGAGAGGTTGGTTTGGGATGTGTAGTACGAGAATGGAACTAGGAACACAGTGATTGTTATGACCTGAACAGAGAGGAAGATTGGAGTATGGAGGTAGCAAAGGTGAGGGCATTCATGTTTGGTTTGAGGAAAGCTAAGGAGATGAATTTCTTACCTCTGATAGTGGAAACGGGTTGTATGAAGCTTTCTCAAGAAGTTTAGAACAGAGCTGGGTTCAATTTGCACGGATATTGCATATAGCTAGGTGAACAGGTGGCAGTGCAAAGCGGGATGTTTTCATATAGGGAGTCAAATGACAATTGACAAGTAATGTGGCTCATGAAGTTGCCCACTTAATACCCTGTAATTCCTGTGAAATGGATTGGAAAGGCTGTATCCCAAGTAGGATTATGGATATAATTTGTAAGGATAACTTTGTATGATTTCTGTATTTTAATGGAATGGATGATTCCTAAAACAAGATTGAAGTTGAGAAGCTGGGAGATGTCATGCGAAATCAGTCAAATACCGATCATTCTTCTGTTGTGCACCCATTGAAAGCAAATGCAAGCCTCTGGTGCCAACATCTTATAACTTAATGGCCTGTCCCTAAAACTCTCTATCTTCCTTATCATAGTTAATTGATGGTTCTATGGTTTGCTCATATGATCTCTTTGCTTCTTTGTTAGGCTGGTTATTGTGCATCATGGAGGATACTTGAGGAATTTGGTTTGTGACCCCTGTGATTGGCAAACGTGGTTTCCAGGGTTTTTTCACATTTGGTTGAAAACACTATTGAGTAGGAAAGCTTTTTGTTTTTTAATGGTAGAAAATTTACTTGTTGAATGAAAAGTTTCAAAAGTTCTCTATCAGGTAATATGGTTTTATTTTATTAATGGTGTGCCTAATCATAATAAGTAAATGGATCCTCTAGTTTGAACTGTGACCCTAGTCGTTGAATTTGTGTAAATATATGACGTTTGTTTATGCTGGACACATTTTTTCACAGGAGTGTTGGACATTAGCATGACCTTCCTTAGCTTATGAGTATGATTATGACCATGTTTGAGTAAATATATGTTATTTGAATGAACTCGATGAAAATTTTTATTTAGACTATGTAACCAGCGACTCAATAGTCCAACCAATCTGTATGCATAACACTCCAGTGTCTAAGGATATCCTCTTTCTTTTGTTCAAGTCCCAGCGCGAAGCGCGAGCAATGAAAACTAGTGTATAGTTATAATAAGCCATACAAAATACTTGACTCGTCTGATTTTTGGAACTTCATATGTCACTTCTCACCTTTTAATGAGATGTGTAAAGTAATTGAGATAATATTAATGGCAGCCAGGACGAAAGCTAAAGTTGGGAAGTATTGGTTGGAGGAAGTTGAAACAAATCTAAGGATGAACAAAGTTTTATATATGGCTACTATTTTGGATCCAAGGAATAAGCTGAAGTTAATGGAATTTAGCTTCAAAAAGTTGTATGGAATTCTTAGGCAAGAAATTTTGGTGAAAGAATTAAATGGGTCAATGAAGGAGATGTTTGAGCATTATAAGGAAATGCTTGCTCCAGCTACTTCTCAAAGAGATGAATCTTCTACTTCTTGTCCCTCTCGAGGTGTGGGTAATGAGAGGAGGCCACGAAGGTTGGGTCGTGGATCATTTAGTAGAGGTTTTGATAATGAGGACTTTGATGATGACACAAGTTCTGAATTAGATTTGTACTTGATAGAGAAAAGACTTAAGATTCCAGAAAAAACTAGCCAAGTAGAAGATGATTTTGATGTCTTAGACTGGTGGAAAAAGAATGACATTAGATTTCCGGTGCTACCTGAAATGGCTAGAGATATCTTGGCTATTGCTATCTCAACAGTTGCTTCTGAGTCGACATTTAGTACCGGAGGTCATGTTTTAGATGATTTTAGGAGCTCTTTATATCTTAAGATGGTGGAGGCCCTTATTTGTAGTGAAGATTGCCTTAAGGTCTCTTTCACTATTTGTTGTTATGGATAATGATGGAGAAGAAGATCAGCCCTGACATTGAGGCATAAAA